TTTAGAACCTGAAGAAAGGGAAGATGAGTGTTGATGAGTATGCCACCGCATTCACTGAGAGGATGAAGCTATTTCCCTACTTCGTGCCTACTGAACTCTCCAAGATAGATAGGTTCGCTAACGGACTGCCCGCAGACTTTGGCCCAACGCTCAAAATGGCAACTACTTTGAAAACAGCCGTTAGAGCAGCTAAGAATATAGAGACCCAGATAAGAGAAAGGGTTCTATAAAAAGATAAGGCGGGAGAAAAGAGGAAGTTTGAAGGATCTTTAAGGCCCAACAAGGAGAGTAAATTCTCGAAGTTTGGAGGAGGAGGAAGAGGCGAAGCAAGATGGTGTGATAAGTGCGAGAAGAAACACTTAGGAAAATGTGGCGAAGATGTGATATGTTTCAAGTGTGGAAAGTCTGGCCATTACGCCAACGAGTGCACATTCAACAAGAAGGTATGTTTCAGATGTAACAAAGAAAGGCATATTTCTAGAGACTGCCCAAAGAAAAACGAAGCAGCAAGGACAAATGCACCGCCAAAGCCAAGGGCATTTCACATGATCCTCGACGAAGCAGATAACAATGTGAGGATTCAAGGATGAGGACTTCATATTCGAATATCGAGTTATGCAGTAGCCATAGTATCGTATGATGTAGCCTGTTAGAGGCATAGTCTAGGGTGAACTTGAACACTTATGTAATCGTTTCAAGGAATAATATAAAACCTTCGTTTTGCTATCTGATGTGTTAAGTTGTTATGTGATTTTCTTGTATGGTGACTTGGAAAACTGCGAGACAATACTTGGGACGAGTATGAGTAGATGTGAATGGTAGTAGAGGCCTATACTACCGGAAGCACATGACTCACACTTGGATCAGGGAAAGTCACAAGGTTACCAAGAAGATAGTAGTTGATTCCATTTTGTTCATGTATGTCATTACCATTGTTTCGGTAATGACTAAGAAGATGATTGTTATTCTGACCCTAGTGGTCATATCAAATTGAGTCCGACTACAATGAGTATGTTACGTGGTTCAGAGAACCAAGTTCGATGTAGCATCTGACTTAAGCCAGAAGATTGAAATAAAAGATAATCAAAGCGATCAGTAGAGGTATCGCGATAGTTGCTTGTAGCTAGAAATTCTACCTTTTAAGATGTATTTAGAACATGAAGGAAGGTATAGTCTGTTCTGGAATTTGACTCTAAGAGACCTGAGTCTAAGCGTTGCAACATGCGATGATAGGTCATTAAAATATGACACATCGGTCCATTGTAGTAATAAAAGAACTTATCTTAAATTTGTTAAGAAGAAGAAGCAGTATCCAGTAAGGATCAAGATTGTGACTTGAAGGTCATAATTTGGAGTCTAACGTGAGATAGGGAGCAGGTGCAAGATCGAGCACCGCCTGCAATCAAGGAGTCCAAGCGTTAAATACTCGTTCGAAGCAACATAGCAGTTACGGTTATTACCTAGGATGAAGAGTTAACGTAGGGAGTCATTATACAAGCCCTGTTTCGTTGATGATTCCAGGACGTAATCATCCTAAGGGGGAGATAATTGTAATGCCCGTAGATCCGGGCTAGTCAATTTAGAGACAATGAGCATCAAAAATGAGTTTTTGATGGAAGATTATTTAGAAGGAGTAATCTTAACCAAGTTGTAGAATATGTCACAAGGGTTCCGTACATATAAAGAATGCCAAAATCCGAGTTATAACGAAGAAGATATGGCCCGTCGAAGTTTCACGACAAAACCGGCACGGCACTACGCGACGTAAATAGTGAATTTATGATAGAGGACTTTTTGGACTTAGTGATATAAACAAAAGTTGTAGTATACGTTAAACCGAGAGCGTACATAAAAAGAACGCCCAAATCTGACTTCGTATGAGGAAGTTATGATTTTTCTAAGATTTGGCCTAGTAGTGCACAACCCGAAACTCGAATTGAAGATATCATTAATAGGAACTCAACGACCTAAATGAGAATTGAAGATCTCATTAATAGGAACTCAACGACAAAAAGACAGACGAAAACAGATTTCGTATGTAGAAGTTATGAATTTTACGCGGACATTTAACAGTGTAGTCACCTTCTACTGTTAAATTTAAGATCGGTCGAGAATTAGCCGACGGAGTCAAAAGAAAAGTTGTAGATCTTATTTTTACCTACGCGTGGATATAAAGAACGTCAAAAACGGAGCTCGTATACGAAAGTTATGGATTTTAGAAGTCGGAAGTGTGCTGTGCGAAAATGGGTGATGTGGCACAATCTTGGCCATTGCTTTCTCCCCAAGTCTTGCCACTAGATGGTGATATGTGGCACCAAGTTCAGCCATATTTCACCCTATAAATAGAACCTCTCCCACCCTCATTTTCTTCACACATTTCCCATTCTTTCTTCTCTCTACACTCTCTCTAAACCTCCCAAAAACTCCCCTAGCGCTAAAAGAAAGCCCCAGAGCGCTCGACGACTCCGAGAAGAAGGGATTTCGGCTCGGAAGTCCTGCCCCTGCAGAGCCCAACTTCTAGCCAAACCCCCTCGTAGGTAAGCTACGCCTACCTAATTTTTAATATAGATTTTATTTAAATATAGTAACGTTATTAGGACCTTATAATAATTATTTAAGATATTATTATGGGTTATATAAGTGTCGTTATAATATCTTTTTAACCACTCGCGGTACGGAGAATCCGGTTTGAAGGGCCGCCTGGGTTGTTGGATTTCAGAAGTGCTATATGCCAAAATGATCCTGCCCTCCGGTGTTTCATGTCCGGCCCCTGTCTGTACATAGTGGGTGAAGAGTGTTGTTTTAACGTTTATATAATAGTAATAATAGCAAGACTATTAATTAGTCTCGTTGAACATTAGACTAAACTCTAGTGGTAATGATACTAGGTTTTGTTAAAGGAAAATTGTTTTAAGAGTAACGAAGTGCTGTTCGAGTGCCGAGTCACCACCTTTACAGGTGAGTGCATAGTTATTTTCATCTTACACATAGATATGAAGTATTTTATATAAATTACGTGCTATGTGTGTATACTGTCTGAATACTTGTTATCTATGCTGGATGAAACGTTTTATACATGTTTTAAATGATCTAAACTGTATATGTATTTTATATCTACAAAATGTGTTGGGTAAAACATGGGTAGATTGGAGGTGAGATAAATGATGAGCGATAAAAGATGAGATAAATGATGAGCGATGAAAGATGAGCGATGATATATGAGTGATAAAATATGGTGCGAAACGATGACCTAAGTGATGACCTAAGCGATGAGCCAAAACAATGAGCCAAAACGATGAGCCAAACGATGACCCAAGCGATGGCCCCGTCATCTAGCAGAGTATGGATGACAACCACGGACTATTCTAGACAGTCTAGTGGAACACTAGCAGGATCGCAACCTGTAGGTGTTGTGAACGATGTGTTCACCCGGTGTACTCTAAAAAAAACCCATTGACATGTATTGCGAGTGGACTCTCGAAAACGATATTGTCAATAAACGAAATAAACCCTGTCGACTATGCAGACTTAGTGTCGATTACTTAGGATACTCCTTATGAATGAATGAACGAGGAATAGCTGAATCTTAGGGAAGATCCTTAAGAGTAAAGAAGATAATGGGGATGGGTAATTGGGTTGATTGTTTGATGTTGAACATAATAATTATATTATTGTGGGTTGAAAACCGTATGTACTCACCAGGTTTCCCAACCTGACCCACTCAAGCTTATTTATATCACATGTGTCGATATGAAGGTACTTTACACTCAGAGATTTAAAAGAGATGTAGATCACTAGTGTAAATGAATGTAAGTTCTGTTTATGCTTATGTTTCTGTATTGACGATGACATCCCAAATGTTTTAAAATAGATAAAAACACATTTCTTCGGAAATGCTTTGATAACGTATTTATCATGTTTTTTTTGGGAACAAATTCCACAACATTTTTATTAAAAGAGGTACTCTGATTTTTATAAAGCATAAACAAAATCGGTCTTTTCTGACCGAGAAAATGGGGTTGTCACAGTAGCCATGGATGGCAACAATCAGATCTTACCTATTGGGTATGGAATTTGCCCAAAAGAGACTACGGATTCTTGGACATGGTTTCTTGAAAAACTACATGAATGCATTGGTGATGTGGAAGGTCTGACAATGGTCACAGATAGGGCACCCGCAATTGCTGTAAGTATTCAAAATGTGTTTTTCCAAATGCTCAACATGGATTGTGTGGTTTTCATCTAATAGGAAACATAGTCCACACATTTGGAAAAAACAAAAAAACATCAATTTTGTTTTGGAAGCTGGTAAGAGCTTACAAAACCACTGAGTTTGAATTCTATTGGGGGAGACTTCGTAATATAAAATATGATGTAGCGACATATCTGAGTCAAATTCCACGTGATAAATGGACCAGAGCATATTGCCCTACCACGAGGTATGATTATATGACCTCAAATAGTGCGGAGTCCATGAATGCTGTATCAAATAAAGCAAGGAAGTTACCTATATTACCACTTCTTGAGTTTTTCGCGCACTTATGCATAAATGGTTTTACAAACGGCGGATGGTTGGAGGTATGATTATGTTTAATTTTAAATTATATGATAAATGTCATATATAATAATATATGTTTGTTTTAACAAAAAAAGTACAAAAATACTTATGAAGTGGGCTGAAGATATGGTTAAAAAAAATAAAGAGGGGATTCAAGGATGGTCGGTATCCGGTGTTGACAATACAACATATCAAGTGCATGACTTCAAAAGTGGCGGCAAAATGAATTTGAGGGAAAAGACTTGTTCTTGCAAATATTGGCAACTAACTGGTTTGCCATGTGGTCATGTGATAATGGTTTTAACGCACTTGAAAAATGGTCATTGTGGGCATAGGGCTATAGATGCTTATAAAATTGAAACATATCGAAGAACATACGAGCAGGCCGTATACCCTCTTTCAGAACTTAGTGATTGGGAGGTTCCGGATGACCTTATGGTTGTTAAACCTCCTGTGATGGAAATACGTCAAGCCGGCAGACCAAAATACACCAATCGTATTCCCTCTCAAGGCGAGGAACCAAAAATAAGAAGGTGTAGTAGACGCCATAGCACAACTCATAATGCAAGGACGTGTAAGGAAATCGTTCTAAAGAACCAAAGTAAAAGTAAAAAACGTACTGGGGCATCAGGAAGTGGGACAAAAGCGACAGAAGAGGAACCGACGCAAGCGACCGAAAACCAATGGCAGCATGAGCTAGACAACCAATGGACGCAACATACCAAACAACAATGGCATCAACAGTCAGACAACCAATGGACACAACAGACCGAACATCAATGGCATCAACAGCCAGACAACCAATGGACACAACAGACCGAACATCAATGGCAGCAGCAGCCAGACAACCAATGGACACAACAGACCGAACATCAATGGCAACAGTAGCCAGACAACCAATGGACACAACAGACCGAACATCAATGGCAACAGGAGCCACAGAACCAATGGACGCAAGGGACCGAATACCAACCGCAGGAAGAGCCACAGAACCAATGACAGGGTTGCATCGAGTACCAATGGCAGCAAGAGCCAGATAACCAATGGACGCAAGCGACAGTAAACCTAGGGACACAAGCAACAGAAAACCCATGGCCGGAAGACGAAAACATATCAAAGTTTCCGTGGTTCGATTTGAATGAATGAAGTTTATTTCAAAGTATGTTTATTATGAAGGTTGTATGTTTATGTTTTCTAAAGTATGTTTTGTAACCTACTTAAAGTATGTTTATTATTCAGAATACCGGTGCGTGTAATTTTATAAAAAAACATGGAATATATGTATAATTTTTTATTAAACATACAACTTTTTTAAACGGGTAATTAAGTAAGAAAAAGGAAAAACGAAAACAATTTTTTTTACATAATAATCACATAATACCTTATGTGATTAAAAAAATATAATATTAATAAACGAAAAAAAATAAAAAAACGAAAAAAAAAATAAAAAAACCAAGATCCGCAGAGGTGTTCCATTTCCTCAGAGGCGTTTATGGTTCCACAGAACCCCTCTGCGGAACCTTTGGTCATTTTACGAAATCCTCATTTTCGTGGTCATTTTTTTCAAAGTAATCCTAAATTTTGGTCATTTGCCGAATAAACTAAAAAATATATAAGAAGCTTTTGTCAACAACATAACCTAACTTATAACCTAATAAATTTAACCAAAAAAATATTTATTGCGTTCAAACCCATGTTCTACCTTCTCCCCACGTTGGAGTTTGAAAAAAAATGAAAACGTCTTATTTGTTGATATTTATCAAGCTTCTCTAAAATCTAAAGAAGGAAAAAATGTGGAAACAAATTTGTTCAAAATTATTTTTCCGAAGATCAAATAGAAATGGGACATTTGGATGTTGTCGATTATCTTGTCTACACGGAAGGGACAAGCGGTGCTATGGATGGTGATGGAAGTACCCAATTTTTCCCATAAAAGGAGATAGATATGCCATATCATGAAATTATTAGTTTTCTAGTATCATTTGATTTTTGCATTATGTTTGTTTAGAGTCATTGTCATGATCAAGAATAATATGTAGTTTTATTTTATGTCTTTTATGATTTTTATGTCATAGTCGTTTCACGAGAAGAGATCTCGGTGGTTCTTCTCAAAATAATAAAATATGACTTTATTTCTCTAAGTTGAATATTTCTTATTTCTTATTATTATTTTTTTAAAGAGAAATATGAATATTTGAAAAATAAATGAGGAATATATATGTCTTGGAGACAATGCAACAACACATAACATTTTTAATAATGAAAAATATTTTGCTTACTTATCAATTGGAGAAACAAAGGTTAATACAATAACGGGTAGTGAAAAAATGATTGAAGGCTCCGGAAGAGCGAATATAATATTACCACAAGGGACAATAATTACAATTGGTGATGCATTATTTTCATCAAAATCACCAAGAAATTCATTAAGTTTTAAGGATATTCGGTCTAACAAATATCATGTTGAAACAACTAATGATGGTGATAAAGAGTATCTCAATATTACAAAAATGATATCAGAGAAAAGTCTTTTGGAAAAATTACCTGTATTATCCTCCGGATTGTATTATACAAATATTAGAATGATTGAATTTCATGTTATTGAAAATAAAAAGGTATGATAACACCTACAAAGTTTGGCATGACCGGTTGGGCCATCCCGGATCAATTAAGATGCACAGAATAATTGAAAGTTCAATTGGCCATTCTTTGAAAAACAAGAAGTTTTTTCAAGCTAATGAATTTTCATGTGATGCATGCTCTCAAGGAAAATTAATGTGACACCCCGAAATTTAGGTCTGAATCTGTAAACAGTCAGTTCACCGCGGACTTTTTTGTATCTTGACCGATTGAATTTTAATGCATATTTTAGTAGAAATGTAATGTCATTTCAAATACAATAATATATGAAATGATATCTTATCACCAATTATGGAAAATGTCGAACAAATTTCAAAGCACAAACTGTAACACTAGTTAACGACTAAAAAACTGAAATTTTGTATTAAGCGTCTGTGAACAAAGAAAATATTCTAGACTCGTAGTACATATGTCCCTGATCGCGGATATATAAAGAACGTCTAAAACGGAATTCGTATGCAAAAGATATAACCGTTTTAAGAAACCAAACCGGTATAACACATACTTTATCTGATTTCATAAACCGTTTCGATCTGTTGAGGCACTTGCACACCTCATATGGAAATTCTGAGAGCGTTTTTGGACTTAGACTACGACCTTGTATTTAAATTACCACTCGAAATATTTTTAGTAAAAATATTTGTAAAAGCCGAAAAAACCAGACGTTTCAGACTTATTAGACGCGAAACTTCAAACGCGATTTCTCGGAGTTCTACAACTCGGAAAATTTATCCATTCGAGTTTTTGAAAACTCTGAAATTAATATCTATCATTTGGCACATTAAAAAAATTACACGACATCAAGAATTGGACGCGCGCAACGAGAATCGTTTTTAAGGCTTAAAAGAAATTTAATGAGGGTGCACTTTGGGCTTGGATTGGCTTTGGAATGTCCAGCATGTGACATAAAGTAAGTGTCAGTAGGATGTAACATAAAGTGTAAGACCATTGATAGTTTAGGGGTCTAAATTGTAAAATAGGTTTGTCGTATTGCAATCATACGATTGCAATCAATAATTGTAACCGGCTCTTTCGCGCCTATAAATAGGGCCTTTGCCCATATGAAATGAACAAGATGTTTTGAGTGTTTAAGACTTGAGTTAAATCTCAAAGTTCTTCCTCTGTTGAAATAGTTTGTCTATTTCTGAATAGCAGAGCCCTCTGTTGAAATAATTTATCTATTTCTGAATAGCAGAGTCCTATCCAACCCATCCATATAATCAATCAAAACAATCCATCATCAAGATCATCCCAACGCATCATTCAGGTATAATCCTATCTTAATTTTTCTTAATCCCGTCATGTCGTTAATTTTTCTTAATCCCGTCATGTCGTTAATTTTGGTATCAAAGCTAAGTATCGTTTTTATTATGATTTTGAATGTTAAATCTTTCGTTCATATGAATATCTGTTCATCATGCATCATCATAAATATTATTATAAATATTTATCGCTATGAGTTATCATCATAAATTCAATATTAAAAACAATTATTACTATCTACCTACAATTTAAACATATTTCGTCAAAAAGTTTTTAAAGCAATTATTACTATGTACCTCCAATTTAAAACATATTTCGTAAAACAGTTTTTAATTCTCCGTATGAAAACTTTGGCATCATAACCACCATTTTAAATATCATAAATAACAAACCCCACCATCCTCTTAAAATCTATGATTTGTAGTCGTAACTTTGAAAGAAAAGCTAAATCGTCATTTTGATTTTAAAAGTTATAATAATGAGTTTTTCAAGTTTAAATATTAATAAACAAGAATTAAATATTTTTCGTAAAACACTGAAACAATCTAAAAAATTTCTTTTAGATTTAAAAATAAATTCTAACATATCAATATTTAATTGTATATCCAATATTGAATCAATACATATAATAAATAATAGAATAAATTGGAAACAAGAACAAATAAAAATTTTTGAAGATAAAATAACAAAACTAATATGTTAAATATGTCTCAAGAAATAGAAAATTCACCAATAATTATTAATAACGAAGAAAATGAATCTGGATACACTTTTGATGCTTTAATTAATAAAAATAATATTAATAAAGATGCTATAAGAAAATCAAATTTTACACTATCAGAAAAACATAATTTTAGAAATAACTTGTTAAAAATTTTCTTTTCTAGAAAAAATATTATATATTTTGGAAAAAATTATAGGAGAAAAACCAATACCTATAGAGTCAACTCAAGTAAATATTATTATACCCATAATAAATAAACAACAAATTAGAAATATATTATCTAATATTAAAGAAGTAGATCGAATAAAAATCGCTTATATTCATATATCAACTATTCGAGTAATTTTAAAAAGTACTTATAGTGATTTAGATACTCCATTAGAGATGATCGTATAATTAATAATAAAGAAAGTATTATTGCAAAAGGAAAATGCAATTTAATTGAAGGAAAAATAAAATTTAATATTAATATTCAACTAGGATTAAGTTTTAAAGATAAAAATCTAAGTAATAGTATTACAGTACGATATAAATTATTAAGACAAAATAATCTTTCGTCAACGTCCCACATAAGCGTCCTGGGACTCTGACCCATGCATAGGACGCCCTTTCTTAACATGGATTTTTGGTAGAATGGGAGTTCACGTCCTACTTAGCGTCCCGCATCAGCGTCGTCTGGCACTCTTAGCGTCCCGGTTAGCGTCCCAGGACGTCGAGACGTTTTTATGTGTCAATCTTATCCTATTTAAAGAAAAAAAAAACCTAATCGGATTCCATCCTAGCCCCGACGATTTTCCTGCAATTTGGAGGGTTCCAACCTCCGATTTTGAGACCTTTTTCCTGCGTTTTTGAGGCTTCTAAACCCTTGGAAACATTTGGAAACACAAATCCATTCCATTTCAATCTGGATTCAAGGCAAGATTCGATTCAATTCATCATCAAGCAACATTTGAAGATCATTCAACCGGTGATTCTCATCAATTTTAGTAACTTTCAGAAACGATTACTTCTTCCCAAGATTTATTTGTTTCATATTTTGATAATCATTAGGTTACAATTGTTGGATGATTTTAAGTTTGTTTATGAATTCTATTATGCAGTTCAATCATTTCATCAAAGTTATTGTTTTTATGAATTTAATGGAAGGTTAAATCATTAGGGTTACTTCCGGGGATGTTTAAGACTTTTGGATGAACACACTTGATTATTACTTAATTCTAATTAATTTCAATTGTTATTTTATGCTTCATATGACGATCTTTGGTAATGATAAGTGAAATTGGGTTGTATGAATTGTTTGATGTCATAATTAAGATAGTCTATTGTCAATTCATCATTTGTTCCAAGTTCAATTAGTTTAGGAATAAAGACAAGTGATTGAATCAACATATATTATTCCAATTTATGATATTGAATCTTAATATGGTAATAGGTAGTCGTAAGACATTTTATTGCTAGTTCACTAA